GTAGAGATCATGATTAAAGGGGCTCATATTTTAGAGAGAAAGCAGAAAGGACGTCATAAGCACTAACTTCCTGGCATTGAGTCAATTCCAACTGAAAGCAATCTTTCCTTGGGTTTCTGAGGGTAGAAATTATAATGGAAGAGACTGTGCATCTTTCTCCCTCAGAGATGCTGGTGGAATGAAACTGGGGATACACAGCATTTTGGTTAGCAGTGATGGGATTGAGTGAATCTAAGCTCCAAGGAAATCCAGGAGAATCAAGATTGATCCTGAAAAGATTGATCTCCTGAAAAGAGCTTATGTTCAAATGAATCTTAAAGGAAAAATGCTTTTCCATGTACCAAGAAGAAAGCATGCAGGAAGTGGGAAGCTGGTTCTTCAACACAAAATGAATTCATTGCTCAAAAGTAAGACTTTCTCTGGAACTGCTCAGATGAACACAAATCATCCAGTATAGTCACAGCAAGAGAAATACAATAGACTGGCATTTTAGATTGGTTGGCCACAAATGTAAGGAAAGGATTCAGACGTGGGGAAAGAAAAAGAGAAGAAAACAAAGACAGAGAAAATGATAGGAAAACATGATCCAAATTGACCCAAGCTTCAGTGGATTCTACAGAGGCAACACAGATTTAACTTGGTGACCATGACAAATTCAAGGGGAAATGTCCAGTAAGCAATTAACACGTGCACATGAGCTTTTTTTTTTAAAAAAAAAAATCTATATTATAAATTCATGTTAAGGTATAGTCAGCATTTAGAAGGAGAGAACTAAGATTCTATAATTTATGGATAATAGATATAATGCATAAGATTTTCTTATTCATTGATTCATTCAAAGCATACTTACTAATCATTTCCTATTTGGATTCTTGGTTGACATTAAACTAAGCATTGATATTTAATAAAATAACATATTAAAATAATTTCTAACACCAAAAGCCTTCAATCAAAATGTATTGAATTTATTTATTAATAGGGAATCAGTTCTGGGCCATGAAACTCCTAGAGATGCAAACAGGTTATCCAAGGAGCATCTATACACTGGGCTTTCCTTCAACTGTCAAGACTATTAGTGCAGCTATTTCTGATAAGGATAACAGGAAAACCTACTTTTTCATAAAGGAGAAATATTGGAGGTAATACAAATAGAAATAACTTTGTAGGGAGCCTATATAGAGTGTGACTGTTCTTCTTTTACTAAGAAAGTACCTAAATCCTATCCTCTCTAATTTCCTCTAATTTCAAATATTCTGAAAACCACTAACAGTTTTTCAATGTTCTAGATCCAACAAAGAGTTCTAATGAAAGCTGATCACTGAGTGATATATCCAAGGATCAAATTACATCAGAGGACACCAATAAGGTCCAGACTTCTGGTCAAAAGTGATATTTGTGTTGTCTTTCTACTAGTCACCATGTAACAGCCAGTGTTGTTGTTATTGTGCCACTTCAAGTTAAAATTGATCATTAGTTGATCTTGTGAATTTTGAGAGGAAATAAATTATACAGGAGAGATTGCTTATTTTGCTCTCATAGAGGAGCTGGTAGATTCGAACTGCATACCTTTGCATTGGCAGCAGAATTCCTTATCATTAAATTGCAAAGGAACCCCAAATATGACATGTTCTAGAGACAAAGTCTATAGAAGTCAGTACAGTAGAGAATCAAGAGTTTATTTTTTGCCAAATAAGTTCATTTACTTTGTTTCCTATGTGTGACCCCTTATACAAACCCAAAACTAAACTCAATTGCCAGTTAGTTGACTCCAACTTATAACTACTCATCAAGTTTCTGAAATTTCCCATCTTTCTTCTGTAGAGCTCTGGTAGATTTGATATTTTGATTACCAGTGCAACACGTAACACACAGTACTCGCATATTTTGGGCTGAAAAGAAAACAATAAAAAGATGCCACAAATGGGTTTTGCAAATTCAGGCTTAGAAAACAAATTTCAAGCACATGGTAGGGACCTCTACAACAGCACATACGTATTTCTTAGGGAAAGTATGGCTTAAATGATGAATTTAATAAGCCATGGAAAGTCGCATTTATTGTAGTCCTTTATACCATTTGAAAAGTTTATTGAGGATTTCACATTGGAATATTAATGTTACTTTATACTGGTAAATAACGGGGTTCACAAAACACTAAACTGTATTTCTTTTGGTGCCGATTTGATGAGAATATCCAGACCATGGAACAAGGTTTCCCCAGACTAATAACTGAGAATTTTCCAGGAGTTGAGCAAAAGATTGATGCTGTATTTAAAAATCTGGTAAAAGGATACTGGTTTATTTGTCAATGTGAGCTCTTGTGGACATCTTATAGTATAAACATGAAGTAGAAAGTCAAAATGATTTCCAAATCATTAATTTTTGTATCTTTTCACTCCACACTTTATGTGATTTATGTAGATTTGGTTTACATTTAATTTCCCCTATCTTTTCTTCAAGTCCTTGATTCACATCAACATGCAAAACCAAAAAAATGATCCTTTCTTGGGACCACTTTCATCTTTCCTCTCTTTAACTATTTTTCCCCTATCTAAAAAATCCTTCAAATCTTTTTTTTTCTTAGAAAATATAAATGAAAGAAAGTAAACAAAAAACAACACATTGAAGTAATAGGACTAACATTTATACACCGTGGACTGCCAAGAGAAAAACAAGCCTGTCTTGGAGAGGGTGAAACCAAGATTATCCTTGGAGGCAAAGATTTTGAAGCTCCATCTCACAGCCTCTGTGCACATGGCCAAGAGGCATCAGTCCTTAGAGAAGGATCTTGCTCTTCAGAAGCATGGACGGATGGTGCAGAAGAGGAAGATCTCAGATGAGATGGATTGACACCATAACTGGAGCGATGGAATTAAATGTGTTATAGTCAGTGAGACTGGCTCAGGATAGGAAAGGCTTCAGAGCCATTATACACAAGGTTACTATGAGTCACAGGTGACTTGATGGCACATAACAACAAGCAAGGTACTCCTGAGAGCTGGATAATGGAGCTATGGCAGAAGGATTCATGATTTCAACTGTGGTGTTGGAGAAAAGTACTGAATGTCCCATGGACTTCCAAAAGAAAAAACATGTATGTCTTGGAGAAAGTTCTGCCAGAGTACTCCTTGGAGGCAAAGTTGATAAAGTTTCTCTCACATACTTTGGCCTTTATGCCAGAAGAGGCTCTTTCTTGGAAGGGACATCATGCATAGAAGGGTGGAGGGTCAGCAATAGAGAGGATGACCATAAATCACATGGATTGACACAGTGACTGCAGCATGGACTCTAGTGTTTCAGAGATTGTGAGGATGGCTAATGATAGGACTGGTTCACATCTGTTGTTCATAGGGACTGTATAAGACATACAAGAGTAAACTCCACCTAACAACAATCAAGGACAAGGAGCATATTGCATGATCCTGATAGCCCTCTGAATGAGCTTGTGTCTCCCTATTGTGGTTGAGTCAACACATAGCTGACCCTCCAGCAGGAGAGACTGTAATTCACAGAGAAAAAGCTTGTCTATCTTTCTCCTGCTGAGGCACAGGTGAATTAGAATGATCAGAAAGTGGTTGGTTTGGGGTTATCAGAACAAATCCCTAACACACCCCCAGAGCTGAATGAGTTTATATCTATTTCATTTTTATAGATGAAAGGAATGGATGGCTTTCAAATATTATATATTTGTTAAAGCCTTTAAACTGACTAAGCCTCATTGTAAATCCCCAATTCTTTAATTTTTAAATTGGCACCCCTGCTACTCTATGCTGTATAGCAAATATTTGGCCACAGATTGATATGACTGGATCAGTGATCAGTTCAGACATAGATTTTTGTTGCTTTTGTTTGTCATCCAGTCAACTGCAGCTCATGGCTAACTCCATGAATAACAGATCTGAACCTTGCCTTTTTTGATGCCATCTTCACAATATGCTCAAACCCATTGTTATGGTCACTGTGTCAATGCATCTTATCCGAAGGCTTTACTCTAGTTCTCTCACCTTTGCCAGCATGAGGTCTTTTTTTTCCCCCTAAGGACTAGCTCCTCCTGATAAAATGCCCAAAGTGTATGAGACAAAGTATCCTTATTCTTTCCTCTAAGGAGCACCTATCCTGGTTGCACTTTCTCCAAAACAGACTAATTTATTATTTTAGCATTCCATGGGATATTTTACACTCTTCTCCAGCACCACAATTAAAAGCACTGATTATACTTTTGCCATTCTTATTCATTGTCCATTTTTCAGATGTCTAAGAAGTAACTAAAGAGGAGCCTTCAAATTCCTGAAGACCACATTTTAACAAGTCAAACTCAAGTGGTGTGGAGGTGGTGCATGGTGTTATGAGGAATATTTCTGCCCACTCCTGTCCGGTCTTGAAAGAATGTATCTCAGACATAGTAAATGTGTTGGGCATTCACCCTTCATGACTGCAGAATATCTCTAGAGTCCATAAGAATTTGAAATTATTTCTTGAATTTTCACTCTTTGTGTATAGGATTCTTCTTTTGACTCTTAGATCAAAATGTTCAGCATTGGTAGATGGGCCCCAGGGAGTTTTGATTTCATGTCAAAGGAGGCAGTTGTTCCTGGAAGACACATTCTATTTCTAACTCACCTTTCTTGGTTTATCCTGGAAGGCTTGACTTTTTGACCTTTGACCAGACATTTCAACTTCCTCTTAATAAGCACACAAGCATAAATTATCTTATCCTCTTTATAAATATGAAAGTAATTTCCTAGAGATGCTCTTGTGCAAATTGAGAAAGTCAAAGGAAGTTACAGATGAAGTTTATGTCATTTTCACATTGATTTTTGGTCAATATTCTTGATGTCTTTCAGACACAAAATAGCAGCAGCATACAGACACACTCAAACATGAGTCACCAGACACAAATCGTGATCTAAGCACTGTCATTCTATATAAGTTCTCTCACAAGAAAGTAGAGAGAAAAAGGCAATAGAGAGAGAAGGTGGCTTCTTTCAGTGAAGATAATGAGAATGAAGGGTCTGATCATCATTGTGCTATTATGTCTACCAGCTTGCTTGGCTTACACACTGGAAAAAACAGTAAAGGAAGAACCAAACATCGACTTTGTTCAGGTAATTAATGATACAAATTATAACAACTATGATCAACCCAAGTGGAGAAGTAAAAGTGTTAGATTTTCCAACACAAAAAAAAGTGGTTTGAGTTTAGAAGTTCTTGTGTTGGGATAACTTAAAATCAGACAATATTAAAGTATTAGAAATAGAGAGTTTTTTCATCTTAATAGAGACAGATTTAAAACATCGAGCAATTCTAGACAATTATAAAAATTACTTGAATTTTTTGGTTTTTTACTCTATTAGAAATACCTGGAAAATTACTATAATCTTGAAAAGGATATGAAACAATTAGTAAGAAGAAATGACAGCAGTGCTATGATTGAAAAAATCCAGGAAATGCAGAGATCCCCTGGGTTGAAGGTGATGGAGAAGCGGGACACTGACATCCTAGAGATGACACATAAGCCCATATGTGGAATCCCCATTATTAGTCACTTCTTCAGATTTCCTGGCTCACCCAGGTGGATGAAAACCAACGTTACTTACAGGTAAAGAGCCACAGATGTCATTACCTAAGATGAAACCATTACTGTCACAGAAAAACATGACTGCTCTTTTTCTTTTACAGAATTGTGAACTACATACCGAAGCTGTCAAGAAATGCTACTGACTTTGCCATTGAGAGAGCTCTGAAACTCTGGGAGGTGGAGACTCCTCTCACATTCTCCAGGGTTTATGATGGAGAGGCTGACATAATGATTTCTTTTAAGAGTAGAGGTAAAAAAATAGCAATGATTAAAATTATTTTTTAAACATACATGCATTAAGCAGATGTTCTTTTATTAGAAAACACGAAAAAGAAATATTAACTTCTTCTTGTTCAATATAAAGATTTTTTTTATCTGTTAGATCATATAGACTTTGCATCTTTTGACATACTTCCACTGGCTGTGGCTCATGCCTTTTCACCTGGACCAGGGTTACGTGGAGACGTTCATTTCTATGATGACATACAATGGACAGAAGATTATTCCGGTGAGTCATAAATCTCTCATGGTAATTTCAGAAATAATCCTTAGCTGTGTCTAGGAATAATTTAAATATTCAAAATGGTTAGTAAAGGAAATGTCTTACATAACTGATAGTTATTATTTAAGTGGAAACCAGAAACACTCTTTGTTCCAATACTTAAAGAATAATTTTATAAACTCTCTGCATTTATTTCGTTTCCTACATATTATTTCAAGTTTTATAACATCACTGAAATTTATTTCAAGATGGAATGCTGGTGGCCCAATATGTTAGCAATTGCACTCACAGCCCAAAGATACACTGTTTGAATCCACCAGCTGCTCAATGGAAGAAAGACAGAAGGTCAGCTATGAATCAAAATGAGTATAAAAACACTTATCACCGTGAAGTTAGAATTTGTTCATAGCTGACCCGCCTGCTGGTATTCTGGAGGCAGAGCAAGGAAACACTGCATGGTTAAAAATCAGGAAAAGAGTGTGCTCTATACCCATACCTTTTCTATGTATGCATGACAGATCAATTGGGAAGCAGGGCTTTATGAGAAGTGAGGCATCAAGATTGAAGGAAGACTCATTAGCAACCATTGATATGCAGATGACACAACCTTGCTTGCTGAAACTGAAGAGGACCTGAAGCACTTGCTGCAAAAGATCAAGGACTGTAGTCTTCAATATGGATTGAAGCTCAACAAGAAGAAGACAAAGATACTCACCACTGGGCCAATTGGCAGCACCATGATAAACAGAGAAGAGTTTGAGATTGTTAGCAATTACAATTTGCTTGTATCCACAATCAACATTCTTAACACCAGAAGTCATGAAAGAAGAATTGCATTGGAAAAACTGTGATCATGGACCTCTTCTGAGTGCTAAGGAGCAGCGATATCAGTTTAGATACAAATGTGTGCCTAATCCAGGCCATAGTCTTCTCAATTATTTGTTATGCTCCAGAGAGTTGGACAATGACTAAGAAAAGAATAAATGCTTTCGAGTTGTGGTGCTGGAGAAGAGCCTTGACTGTCAAGAAAACAAATCAGTCGATCTTGGAGAATGTGAAAATAAGTCTCTCCTTGGAGGCTAGGATTTTGAAACTCCACCTCACTTACTTTGGGCACATGGCCAGGGGAGATTTGTCCTTGGAGAAGGGCATCATGCTCAGAAGGGTAGACTGAGAGCATAGGAGAGGGAGACTCCAAATGAGAGAATTAACTGTGGCAATGAGAGTTGGTGTGTTGGAATTAGTGAGACTGGCTCAGGACAGGGAAGGATTCAGAGCTGCTGTACACAGGGTCACTATACATTGCAGGTGACTCAATGGCACATAACAACAATAACATACTATGACAGGTTTGGAAGCAGGAGTGGCATCTACTTCTTAAACAAAATGCCTCTGGAAACTCTATGAACTTTGATAAATATCAATAGTTGTCGGGGGCTTCAGGCCTTTTGTTCACAGTGTCGCTATGAGTCGTGCTTGGCTCAAAGACAATCAACAACAACAAAAACATCTACATATCTATAGCTGTATATATATATATACACACACACACACATATGTTATGTATAACCAAAGTCCAAAAACTAACTATAAATAATTGTAT